AAAGAATACAATCCACTAAGAAAAATTATCCCCCTTAGTATTTTTTTTTTAAAATAAATAAGAAGTTAAATTGACTATAGTATTGAGGTTAATGTACCTTGGCATCACTGAACCTTTTTTCCTCTTTAAGTTTTAAAATAAGTAAATAAAAAAACTCCTTTCGACAACAATATTTGTTTTTTCTGTTCTCCTTTTTTTTGTTTTTTCAGAAGCTTGGATGAATGGTATGGAATTTGCACCTGGTAGTCTTCTGTAAACAACTAATTTATATTAAAATATCATATGATTGTAATTACTATAAACATATGCTAAAACACAATTAAACAGTGAAAAATATAATAAGTCTATTAATTTAATTTTTATAAAATATTATACCTAAATTGTGAGAAGTAGTAGTAGCCAAGTCTGAGTTTAAGTCCTTGTCTAGTTTATCTGTTTCAAAACATGCATCACTTGTTTGCAGTTCTTTTTCTAGCCAGATTTTGTAATGCAACTTAAATCTATCCTTTTTTTTTATTTATTAAACTGTTTAGAAAATATTTTGAAGTCTATGTCAGAGATCTGTAACTTTATAAGCATCAGGGTCGGTAATTGATTTGATTAAATTGTTTTCCAAAACATAAAACAATTTTTGAGTAACTTCTTTAACTTTCATAGTGATTGGTAGAAGAAATTTTTAAGTTAAAAATATAATTATAGTTTTTTAAAGTTTTTAAATAGGATTAAATTTTTTTAAATAGATTCGTATTTTACATAATTAAAAACATTATCGATCATTCGCTGAAATAAGTTTAAGTTCATAAATAAAAAAAACCACATTACTTAATAAAGTAGAACAGCATTATAATTTAATGTTTTTTGTAGTTTTCGTAATTGCAATTAATTATTTAGAGTTCATACTTAACAACAATGTGCTTTGAACAATTAAAAATGACAAATAAGTTGTATGTTTAAAACCTGCTAAATTTTAATTGGCGCAACTTTGTGCAAGATAATTTTAATGAGAAACCTTCTACAATATTAAGACACTGTAAAAAAGGTAATCCCATAGTGGGGAAATGTGGTCAAAAAAAAATCTCGAACCGTTTATGGTAACTTTTTATTATGTTTTGTAATATTTTAACTGTCATATTTAAAGTTAATAAAAAGTCCTAAAATACAAGATTGTTTTTATTTGTTAAACTTTCTAAAATAAAGTATGCACTCTGATATTGAAATTATAAAATTTTAATAATATTAAAAAAAACTGCGTCTACGAAATGAAATTTGATTTTATGAGTATTTTTTCTTTTTTTTTAAATTTTTTTTTTTAATTTAAATAGACAAGCTTGAAAACTTTCCCTCGACTCCTAAATCAAAAATTAAAGTATTTAAACAACAGATTTTTTTATTGTGGGGTATTTACTTTTAAAATGTTGTAAAAAAAAAAAGTTTCCACAAATACTCATTTTCTGCATTTATGCCAATCTCTGGCCCACTGTGCATGACCTTGAAAATTTTAAATGCTGAAGTAGTCCTTGATCCCCTAGCATTAACTCCAGTCAGAAAATCTTCCAAGAATCCTAAACCCAAAGCACATTCTTCAACAAAGCAAAAAAAGTTATCGTTCAAAACAATACATGTTTCATCAGTGCCATCATGCTTTTTGTAATTACCTTCAACATCAGCATCTTCAAAAATCAAATGAAAAGCAAAAAAAACTCAGGAAGAACTATCCAAAATTAACACTCACCTTTTACTAACACCAGAATTGTCAGCTATTCCAATCAAAATGGGAAAGTTTTCCAAGAATAAAGTTAGAAAAACTCATTACAAAAAACTCATACTCAGATTTTGACTAAATAAAATTTGTTAAAGTAAAAGTAATAAATATTGATAGAAAAAAATTTTTGATTTCTTTTTATTCCGTAAAACTAAAGTATTTATTGTGAAAATTTAAATTTATTGTTAAATATATTAATTATATATTAACATGAATTTAGAAGGAAGAATTCAGTGTAAAGTTTAAATTCAGTGTTTAGTAAGTCTAAATAAAACTAATTTCTCGTTATAATCAAAAATGTCTGCATAAATTGGTATAATATAAAAGTAAATTACTTTTTTAATTTATGCCCGATCGTAAAATATTAGTATTTCTCGTACAACTCAGAGATGTCTTGTTTGTCTCATTTTTTACTGTCTCATTTTTTTAAGAATATATTTTTTCTATTATAAAAAGAACAGTCAAACTCTAAAAGATGCCATAAAAACTGTAGTCCAGCAGTAATGTGAGATCTGGGCTAGAATTCCAACTGCTGAACATAGAAGTATTGTTTGTAAAAATGAAGCTTTATTGGAAAGATAAAGAAATATTTTGAAAAACAAGAGTCTTGGCGGGCCAGCACAGCAGGTAAAAGAAGATTTTTTGAATTCCGTAATTTGTCTTTTTGATATTGCTCACCATGATGGATTGAAGCTGATAAAAATAGAAAAAGATCAAGTTTTTCTTGCAGACCAACATTCAGAAAGAAAATATGCCATGGGAGATGTAGATAGAATTTTAGCAAAAAAAGAAAGTAAAGAATCAAGAATGCAAAGGAATGTTCAACGTGGTATCAAAGAAGAGGAGAGAAAGTGAAAAGAATGTCTGGAAATAGAAAAAGAATTATTCTCATCATCAGAAAGTTCAAGTGAAGTAGACAATGCTATATCTAGCGACAAAGACTATATGGTTCAACAAAAATTTTGTTGAGGAACATTATCATGAGAAATCTCTATCAACTAAACGTAAAAATGTACTTGCTTTAGATGTTATTCCTATAGCATCTTCACTTGACCTTACAAATGTAAGTGACAGAAAAGCAGCATACATATTAACAGCAGCCATCCTAATGATTGTGATGGTGATATATCAAAACTACCAATATCTCATTTAGGCAGCCTTTTGTTTGGAGGGACCTTTGGTTATTTATACTGATGGAAAATTTTTGCCAGCAATTTCAGGTGGGCCCGAAAAAGTTGATTGTCAGGCAATCCTTGTTTCAGGATTAGGAACAGAAAAACTTTTGGTAATTCTTAAAGTTTTTCTGCTCCTAAACAAGGGACTGGTGAGCTTATAGCAAATGCAACAATGGTTGCCATTTCTGATTGGAAATTGCAAATTCAAATAGTTGCAATTTCTTTCGACACTACAGCATCAAACACAGTTCGACTAAATGGTGCATGCACAATTTTTGAAAACTTGAAAAAAATCTGCTCTGGTTGGCATGTTACCATCATGTGTTTGAAGTTCTGTGTGGCAATGTCTTCAAGGCAGTTTTTGGTCCATCCTCTGGTCCAAATGTGTTGTTGTTTCGTTGATTTTAGGAATATTGGTCAAACATAGACCAAGAAACATATATAGCTTGCACTGATCATTGTTTAAATGAAGAACTTACAGATTTGAAGAGAGAGGTAGTTGATTTTATTTTAGGAGTGTTGAATGGAAAAGCAGGAAATTTACCTAGAGAGGATTATTATGAACTTTTGGATTTTACTTTGATCTTTCTTGGAGATATTCTACCTACGGGAGGCAGATGTCTAAAATAATTTATTTTTCAAAAATTTTCTTATTTAAAACTCACCAAAGGTGAAAGTTCAGGGTGCTTGGAATTGTTTTGTTGCTCTTATCTAAGTAAAAGCATGGATAACCTGCTCATACTCATGAGATGCTCCATTCAATGATTTAAATCTCATAAAAGCATTAATAAAGTAAAGTTAAACAGCAAATGTTATCTCAACAACTGTGTTGAAAGCAGTGGGTTGCCATTTATGGTATCTTGGAGAAAAACTAGCATCACTTGGTATGTTTTCTGATTTGGTGCCTGTTATGATGAAAATACTTATGGTAGTAAAATTGCAAGATCAGATTGCAGACAATCGAGAACTAGATTGTTCATCAATCCAATACTCTGGAACTGAAGATCTGAGTCAAAACCTCTGGAGAATTTCATTGGATCATCTTCATGTTTCTTTTCTGAAACCTTACAGTTAGACATGTCCTTTCTGGAGGAGGATGTTGAGAAGTGGTCAGATATTTCAAATTATCAGGCTGCAAAGAAAACCGTTCAGGTACTAGAAGTTGTCCATGAAAGAGGAATTGCTACTGCATTTAATGATAGTGCAGAAAGAGGAAACTAAAAAAAAGAAAGAGGAATTGCCATTGCATTTAATTTTACAGTAACAAAACAAGAAGAGCAAAAACAATATTCGTTTCAAATGGTGGAAAGTCACCAATAAAGATTTTGCAAAATAAAGAAATCAACTTTCAGATGTTGTAGCTCAACAATTGTAACTGAACACAAGGAAAAAAAAGAGAAAACTGTTTTAATGGAAAAGTATTATAATAAAACTTCCTGTAAAGATATAAATTTTGTTGCATATTTTTTATGTTAATAAAAATTTTCAAATCTTTTGTGGTGTATTTACGAAGTAAAAGAAACATAAAAATCTAAGATTTTATTTTCTGAACCACCCTACTATATGCATTGATCTTTTGTAAGAATTAATTGATGACTTATGAGGTCTTAAAAATTCATCTTGCATATAGACTTAGTTTACTATTTTCACTAACTATACAAAAAAGCCCTAACATAAGGGAAATCTAAACTTTAAAATCACTAGAAGCAATTTAAGTTGACAACTTACAAAAAAAAAAATGCAAAAAGACTTTTAAGAAACAGTGTGCATTAAAATTTTGACTTCAAAAATGGCATAGACTAACCAACAGATATATACAACAGATTTATACATGATGTATACATACAAACATGCATACAAACATGCATATATACATGCATACATGCATGCATGCATGTATGTATGCATGTTTGTATGTATGTATATATGTATGTATGTATGTATGTATGTATGTATGTATGTATGTATGTATGTATGTATGTATGTATGTATGTATGTATGTATGCACAAACTTACATACATAAATGTATGTACAGTTTTGAATAAATAAGTTTTTTTTATAGGTGTTTATGTTAACAGTGAAAGTACAGTATCTTTAAATAATTTTGAAGACTCATTAACTCCTGTATCAATACACTGGAAAAAGCGTTTCATCAATTTCTTAGAGGAAAAATGGATATTAGCTGCACAATCAGCCATATATTCTCATCATGATGATGTAATAAAAAATAAGTTACATCCTCAACTTATTACTGAAATCAACTTATCGGATAATAAACTTAAGTATGTTCCATTTATACTTTTTCAATTACCTTCCTTAAGCAAACTAAATCTATCAAATAATAGACTCAATGACTTGTCTTATATGGATTCAAGTACAAACGAAAACAATATTTTAAATCAAAATGTTGGTCCTACTTTAGAAGAGCTAGAATTGCATCATAATTCTCTTATAACCGTCCCAGAATTTATTTTTAAAATGCCTATTTTACAGTATATGAACTGCAGCAACAATAATTTGAAAAGTTTACCAATGGAAATGTGGCTTTCAGAATCATTGAAGGTTTTGTTGCTTAATCACAATCATTTAAGTAAATTACCTTTTTTAACAAACTCTACTAGGTGATTTTATTTCAAATACTATGTTATTAAATTATTTTTACATAGTTTTTCTGTTGTTATTTTAAAATTTTAAAAAATTTCATATTTAAATGTTTGTCGTGTTTATATTAATTATTTTATTTTTTTATAATTATTTTGAAAATTTTGTTATTTTATTGTTTTTAAGTTATTATAAAATTGCTTAGTAATATTTTGTTTTGTTTTTTTTTTATGATTTTAGAGAATATGACAATGAACAAGTGGATAATAAAAAAAGGAATTGTGTATCAAGATTTCCAATTTCCAAAAAAAATATCCTTTTTAGCAGAAAATCTAATAAGGATGATGGTATTTACAATATAGAAAAACAGAAATATGCATTAAATTCTGGTTTAATTCACCTTGACTTGTCAAATAATAAATTTTCAGAAGTGCCTAATGGAATTTCATGTCTTGCACCTAACTTATTTTATCTTAACTTAAGTTTTAATAATATTTCTGAAATAAAGTGTATATCTTGCTTTCCAAAACATTTAAGTCATTTAGCCCTTGTTAAAAACAACCTAGACATAATAAATTTTTCTGAAGAACAAAAACCAAATAGTTTTTGTTATGCATATTCAGAACATATTTATACAACATCAAACAACACTTGTGAACATCAACAACATAATCAGCTAGTTGATCTTGTTCATCTTAATTTGTTAGGAAATAAACTTAAATCAATCAGTTTGTTTTATTCATTTAGTAACAAAAAAGAGTTATTTTGTGAAAATTTAAGAACTATTAATATTTCTGAAACATTGTTGAAATCGTTGCCCGATGGTTTAAAAGACTTAAAAAAACTAGAAGCGTTATATTTTACTCAAATCCACAACATTAATGAATCATTTAATGGTCTCATTGAAGACCTTAAGTTAATTCAATGTCCTAAGAATGTTGTTGCAAGTATAAATATTGGTTGCGAAAGAAATTCAGATGTCAAATCTCTACAAAAAGCTGAAGAACTGATAAATAAAAAGTATATATTTTTTTAAAATGTAAAGATGTTGATTATGATATATATTTGTATATATATATATATATATATATATATATATATATATATATATATATATATATATATATATATATATATATATATATATATATATATATATATACATATATATATATATATATATATATATATATATATATACATATATATATATATATATATATATATATATATATATATATATATATATATATATATATATATATATATATATATATATATACAGAATTTTTATGATCCTCAAAGTATAACAGCACTTAGTTGTCTTTTTAAGCATATACAAGTTTAAAAGGAGTTTCATTTTAATGTACTCATAAATGTTAATGATCGCTTTTTATTTTTTTTACAATCATTTTATATTCATATTTTCTTAAACTGCATCTGTATTAAATAACACTTGTGCAACCCATTTAATATACACTCAGTGTTCTAGTTAGTAGAAAATGAACAGATTTTTTGAAATTGTTATTAAAATTAATAATTTCAAAGAGTTTTTTTTTCTTGATATTTTTATAAATTGAAGTTGACTTCAACTAGTTTGAAGACGATGTTAAACTATTTAAATGCTAAATATATTTCATAAAGTTGTATTTATGAAAGATGTTCAAAATGCTTGTAAAGCAAAATTTATTATAATTTTTAAAAAACCTACCTAACAGCTGATTAATACATAAAAACCCTAGTTATTCAAAATTAAACAAAACATCTGGTGTTCAAAATTATACAAAACATCTTTCATAAAGATCCTAGTTATAGCCAAAAAAAGTTTTTAGCTCAGTTTTTGATTTGACTGCATGTATTCAAGCTTAATTCAGGCTATGAGCACTACAAAAATATAAAGATTGATATATAAATTAATGTTAAAATATAAGGAATAATATATAAAATACAATAATAATTTTTGAATATAAATTCCAGCCTTAGTTAAGCCATTGTTGTAACCTTGATTGACCCAGAAACATTTTAGTAAATAAAATATATTTTGAAAAGAATTTGTCAAGATTATCTGGTTCAAAACTTTGTTAGGATTTTGTGTTGCACCACTAAGGCAATAACAAATCTTCTGACCTAGTAACAATAACATGAAGTATCTTTTTAATGCCATTAGGGAAGTTAATCACTTATAGTTTTTATCATGTTAATTGCTTTATTATGCTACTTGTACCAGATTACACTGGCAAAATGATCTCTGTCTCTGCTTGAATCTTTCTGTGCAATGCCATATAATAGCTAAAAGATTTATTTTCATGTTGTAAGTTATATTAGTATATTGATTAGCTTGAGGTTCAACATTAATGTAAGAGTGTGTTGAGGGCATATTCAATATTGATGTAACTGTTTTAATCGCCCCATGACGATATGAATTGCTAATAATGAATTGAAAATGTATATCCTTTCACATTATGCACTTTTTGATAAATAATTATAATCAAAATTTTCAAACACTAGGAAATAAATGTTAAGAAAAATAGTGAAAAAAAAAAATAATTTATTTTGGTTGTAATGGTACTTGGCAATAGATTATGACTCAATCCATACTTGTTTATTATATCTTCTTTAGGACTTTCTAATGGATCAGCAATTGCTTTCTTACTATACCTGTTATCTTTAAACATTCTCGTAATTTTTAATTTTTTGATTTGCTATAATAAAACTTATTCTAAATAACTTTACACTTGTTTTTCTTTTATTCTAAATAACTTCACCCTTGTTTTTCTATTCTTCTAAATAACTTCACACATGTTTTTCTTTTCTCGGTTTGACAACATTGAAATATTACTTAGCTTGATGATATGAAAAAATATTATTTAACTTGACAACATTAAAATATTGCATAGCTTGACAACATTAAAACATATTGCATAGCTTGACAACATTTAAGCATATTTCTTAGCTAAAAAATACACTGGTTTATAAGTAATTTAGTCATTTACAAAGAATATATAAAATATATATAAAAGTACGCTAAAAATTTAGTTATTTGGTGACATATATATATATATAAAGCAAAGTTAATAGCTATACATATCACTAAATAAATTTATTATCTAATCATCAAAAAAAGAAAGCTTTATCCCATATTTGTTATACTTTTATTGTCATTATTTCTACCACATTACGATGTAAAGGATTTTTATTGTTCAATTTGCATTTTAATCTTTGTTTGTCAGGTTGTAGAATTTCATAAAATCTACATAAGTCATAAGTAGTTGATTGTCAGACATTTGGAGAGAGCACCAAAGCTGACACAAGACCTAAATAGGGAAATCAAAAGCATTTAAAAATTCATACTGTATGGGGTGGTAAATATTTTGTTATTAAAAAGTAAAAAAAATAAATATTTAAATGCTATCAATGTAAGGAAGTACTGCATGTGAATGCATAGAAAAGCAAATTAATAATAATCTTTTAGTTTAAAGTAAGTAAAGATAACGCATTAGTGAAAGAAAAAAAGTAACAATTATGCCTTGCATAAATGTATAATGTATTTTAAATTTTTACCTAGCCCCGGTTATCAGCTCCTGCTAAATCTTTGGAAGGCTGTGTTTGTTTAAAAATCTTTTATTTGGAGCCGGGCTTAATCATTTTATATATTATATTTTTAAATATTAAATCACTTTAAAACATTTACAAAAGTAATTTTTTTTTTTAATTTTTCTCTTTCTTTTTTTATAACATGCTTAAATCATTACAAGTTAACTAATTAAAAAATGTGTAAGGTATCATGCAGTCTAATAAATGGATAAAATAATTTACATTAGGGTCATTCCATGCCAAGTGGACCAAATTTTTATGAAATTCCTTATGGACCATCTCAGATTTTATTTAAACTTTTCGATTTTGTACATATATATGAGAAAAGTATGTTTTGAAAATTTTACATCAATATCTAATATGGTTCTTGAGAAAACGCTATTCAAGTAGTCGGCTATTTTGCATGAAGTTTCACTCTACAAGAAAAAAGTTTTTTTTCATCATTTTTAACAGCTGATAACTTTTAAACAAGTTGGTTTTATATTTCAATTATTTCAAGATAGCAAGTGGCGATGAATACTTTTAAAAAAACAAAAAATTCAAATTCTGGCATCTTAACTTTTTCTATTATGGCGAGCTAAAGTTGATCTTTTTGTTTAAAGATTTTAAATTTATTTTTGAGCGGCTTAATCTTAAAAACTAGTTCAAAAATAATCAAATTGTTGATCTGGATATAATGGTGGATAAATATAAAAAAAAAATCAGTTGATTAAAGAACTGCATTTAAAAGTTATAGGTCATCAAATGTGTTGGATCAAGATTTTCTTAAAATTGATCTGGAATGCAAAGCATCTGTTACCTAAGATGGCACTTTTTTTCTTCACAAAATTATTTTATACGCATCAATCAAAAAGTGTTAATTCATAAAAACAAAAAAAATTAATTGGCACTTATTTATAATTCTAAAAGATAGTCTTTAAAAATCAGGTAAATTTTGAATAAAAAATTTAAAGTTAAAAAAATAAATAAATGCATTTAATTAAATAATGTTACTTATTATAAAATATCAATTAAAAGTTATCAATGCTTATAGCCTTATAATCCCAATAGATTAAAATAATTCTTCCCCCCCCCTCCCTCCTTTATAATACAATTTTTTTTTTAACGAATTGCAATTGCAGTGATTTTTTTTATCACTGCAATTTGTAAATTGTAGTGATAAAAAAAATTTACAAACGTAATACACTAAATATTTTGAAAGATTTGTTTATATATAACCTTAGAATATTGTTTATATATAACTTTAAATTTCAGTTGAAATTTTTTTTTAACTATTTAGACAATAAAATGTTTTTACCACTTCAAGACAATAAACAAAAATAATAAAATTTACAAAAAGTTTAATTTCTAAAATAATAAAATAATCTCATAGATTTCCTTTAAGTCAATATAATGAAATCTTCCTCTGTTCGCGACTGGACCTTAAGAGATTGTACTTTGCATAAAATATGTATCAGGGGTACCTAATAATTTTTCATAAATTTAATATGAAGATCTTGATGCTCTTCTGAATACCTAAAATATTTCCTAAATACCATTGATCATCGTAAATGCAGGTTGCGTATTCTCCTGGTGTGAAATTTTATTAATAAAAATTCTGCAAGTAGAAAAATCCACATTAGTGCAATTACTATCAAATAAAACTCTTTTTTTATTTATTGAGGTAAGTGACATAGGTATAAAACTGTGATAGTTTTATGCCCCAGGTATTGTAGAAGAAGAATGTTATTTCTCTTCTACAATACCTGGGGCATAAAACTTGGGCATCACAGTTTTATACCTATGTCACTTACCTCAATAAAAAAAGAGTTTCATTTGATAGTAATTGCACTAATGTGGATTTTTCTACTTTGCAGAATTAAAAACAATGTGTTCTAATAAAACCTCTTTTCCAGGACATTTATTGTAGCTATGCAGCAAACAATCTCTATTTTCAATGCTACAAACCATTAATTTTAATAAACTTTTGTAACCAGCAATTCCAGGAATTTTCTGTACGAGGAGCTTTACATTTTGATGGTACTGGCATACACAAACTGCATGTAGACCAGACGCACCACCCACAGGATTGTACCACTTGGGACTTAACTCACAAAATTTTGAAAAATCTAGTATAGATAGATTTAGTAGATAGTATAAAGCAACATTTTGTTGCTTTATACTATCTACTTTAACTGAAACAAACTCTTTCTTTCCTGGGCAAACCCTTGAATATTCATCTCCTTGGTAGAACTAAACAACCTCTGTAATTACATCTTTGCTAAGTTTTCTACCCAATTTCACAGAAAGTTTTGATAGTATTCCAATTTTTTCTCTTAATTTTCTGGCTTGTATTACAGATCTTTTTGAAGTCAAAAAATACTTCTGAGTATTATATTGACCAACTATATATCTGACTCTATTGACCAACTATCTGGAATATCTGACTCTATTGACCAACTATCTGGAGTGTAAGAAGTGTTTTTTTTTTTAATTTTGACAATGTTTTGTCAAATTTTGACTTAATTTGAATCATAGTATTGTCTAAATCTTTGTTTTTTCAAACATTTTTTTGAAGGTGATTAAATTTTACTAAGTGCAGCTATTTCTAAACCTAGCACATTGGCAACAGCCTTTTGTGTATGAGCTCTTACATTATCAATTTTACCCTTTTCATATGCAACTCTTTTTTTGAAACAAGATTGAGAGGTGAACATCCAAGACCTGCAATACTTAAATAAAGATCTTCTTTTAATGTAAGGTTTTCAACATAAATTTCTTTTTCTTGGAGTTCATTTTCTATTGTATTATGATGTTTGCAATGCAGAGTTTTTTGACCAGGTATTAAACCAAAATCTTTGGCATATGAAAGATTGGTAACTCTGAGAAAATCTACAAAGTTAAGAAAGTAATTATTAAATATTGTTTCACATTTATTTATTATAATAAAGGTATTTGTATTAAATTAAGGTATTAGTTTAAATATTGAAACTTTTCACTTTTTTTGTGTGCTTGTTAAAGAGATAAAAACAATACCTTTGATGTTCATTCTCATCAAAAAAACCTCAACAAATCATTCTCATACCTCAACAAATCATTCTCATACTTTTCATTCTCATACTCAACAAATAAACTTTCTCTTGACAGTTAAAAATAAAATCTATGCTTCACTTTGTTTCTATAGCCCACTACTTGAATAGCGTTTTCTCAAGAACTATATTAGATATTGATCTAAAATTTAAAAAACATGCTTTTCTCATATATATGTACAAAATCAAAAAGTTTCAATAAAATCTGAGAAGGTCCAGAAGGAACCTCATAAAAATTTGCTCCACTTGGCATGGAATGACTCATTATTTAGAAGTATTTATTTAAACTAATGGCAATTTAAAATTATTAAAATAATTGCAAGCAAGTTTGTCTGCTAATAGCATTTAGTAAAAATGAATCTTTTTTGGTTAAATAATAAAATTTTGGAATAGCCAGAATTCCTGGTGATAAAAGTTCCTATTAATTTTTTAATTCTTTTATTTGTTAATTTTAATTGTTCCCAAAGTAGAAACTTGGTTAAACTCGTGCTTAAGTTCTTTAAAGGTTCATTTCTTTTTCCCCTAAATCTGATTGGATAAATTGTTAATAACTTTTTAATTTATTTCGATCATTTTTAAAACAGTCCTACCCTAAAAAGTATTTTTTAAATTTTTTTTTCACCAAACTTATAGTTTTTTTAAATACAATACAATATTTATAAATATTGAATTGTTAATGAAGTTTTTTTTTATTTCAATAAAATAAATTCTTTAACAATTGTAATTAAAAGAATTATAGTTTTTTAATTAGAATTGTTAAAGAATTTATTTTGATGAAAAATATAGAATTAAAAGAATAATTGATTATTATTCAATATTTTATTTCATTTGCATTTATAAAGTTTTAACTTTAATTAAATACAATATATTCTTTTGTTCCTTTCCAAAAATTAGGTTGATGAACTTCCCAAATATTAGGTTAATGGTGATTGGTCCAAAAAAGTTTAGAAAATCTCCTCTTGTTAAATCACTTCAAAGCTATGGAGATATTAGAAAAGAAATTCATCTGAGACATTATTGGATAAAAGGTAAGATACCTTGAAAATAAATTGTTACCGTTTTGTGGTATTTTATATGTCTTACTATGCCTAATGTTGTTCAAAAACTTTCAACAGTTTTCTAAAAATCAATTGTTATAAACAAATAATACAATTGCTGCAAAATTTATAATTTTAAATTAAAAATGTTTTGCATTCATTAGTTTCCTAGAAACAATTTATGAATTACATTATTTTCACAATTTGTATGTTATATTTACTACTTTAGGGTACAAACTTACCACAAGTACATTTGCAAGAGATGCAATAGACTGTTCTTACTGGTCATATATGTATGAAAAGAAATGCATGAATTTTATCATTTGGGAGGTAGATTTATTATTATGGTAATTTATTGTTACCATATATTCTTGGTTTATTTTCGTTTAGTAATATTTAAAAAATTTAGTGATACTTTAATAAATTTCAAACATTATAAAAAAAATTTTTTTTAATGTTTTTGCCGGAATATTTTTGATTATTTGTTTTTTCTGCCTACAAGTATGCGCACACATGTTTTTTTGAAAACAAGAATGTAAATATTTGCAAGTCATTTATATTCTTGACACCAAGCAAAATAATTTTTTTTTTTTAAATGAATATAATTTATAATTTACTTTAGTATAATCAACTTTGCTTACTAAAAATTTTTATTATACAATATATTTTTTACTAAACATTAGCTATCTCAATGTTGAAAACTTGTTTGAAAAAAAAACTCAAAATTTTGTTAGAAAAAATTAAAGGTTGAGAAGTCAACTTGAATTTGGGTTTTTATTTCTGTTTAGTGCAATTTTGATGAACTTCATCATGTTTTTATGTTTCAACATGCAATTTATTTGCTTGTTTGGCAGTTTACTGATAACTTTGAAAATGAAGTGGTACTACTGAAGTTGTGGCTTGAAAATATTCAGGTTTTTTTTTCAAATAAATTGTATATTTTATAACTAATACTTACATTAGAAATATAAAGAATATGTGTTCTAATGGTTGGTTTGGAAATGTTAAAAAACCCCTTAAACCTGCATATTGTCATAATTATTCCTAAATGATTATTCTTACATATTGTCATAATTATTCCAAGATGTTGATTTAAAAAAAAATTATATTATTTATATATAAATTAAAATTATATTACTTATATATTTACTTTATATATTAATTATATATTTTTGTGAAAAAAATGTTTCATACTTTGAAATTGCAATGAAATCCAATATATAAGTTTTTTTCATAAAAGCTATTTAAATGTTTAAATTAAAAAAATAAATAATATTAATACATTTAAATTGATATAACACAATTTCTTTGCTGATTGTGTTGAGTTTAAAGGTTCACCAGAAAATAAAAAGTTTTTTTATGTTATTATAATATTTTTGTCATATCATATCTTAAGTGATAAACAATATAAATTTAATATTTGTTTTTATTTTATTAGGCTTATGCTCCTGACTCTGCTGTCATTGTTGTCATAACTAACACTGATAGTAAAAAATGTCCATCAGGTTTATTAGAAAATGTTAAAAAATATTTTTCTTCTAAATATGGATTTATCATAGATTTTGTTGAAATTGATCACACCAAAGTTCAAAATATAAAGTCTCTTCGTGATTTAATATCTAACACTGCTATAAATGTTAGAGATAAAAGTAAGTTTTTTTACTTTTTTTTTTTCTTTTATGTATATATTAATATATATATATATATATATATATATATATATATATATATATATATATATATATATATATATATATATATATATATATATATATATATATATATATATATATATATATATATATATATATATATGCAAAAAAAAACATTTAAACTTTATAGTATAACTCATACCAAAATCATACTAATAGCTTTAAGTGCTATTCAACATGTCTTTTTTATGATCATTGTTCTAATGTTCTTTTAAGTTTTTTATCTAAGCTATATGAAAATTCCTTCTTAAACTTTCATTCAAATTATAAGATTCGGTAATTTCAATGGGATGGTATCAGTTTTATTTAGTTTATGGAACAAGCAGGGTTGCCACCAAATCAGGGAAATCAGGGAAAATCAGGGAAATTTAGATACATTCAGGGAAAATCAGGGGGAAATGATTAATTTAGGAAAAAATCAGGGAAAATCAGGGAGCTTTTTAATTTTTCTTTAATGTTTTTAAATTTTTTCTAATAAAAATCTTCCTTTTTAAGGGTACCAGGGTTAATGTTTAACATTTTTAAAGAAAATTAATCATATTGTGTTTACATTAATTTAAAGTTTGCAACATAATTCAAAGAAAAATGGTTAATTGATCCTTTGTTTGAAAAATGGCTGATAATAGGCAAAAATGTCCAATTGGATCTAAATATTCAGTTTTAGAGCAGCAATTTAAATCGTGTTGAATCCAGATACTTTGACTCAGCAAAGAATTTACTTAAAAGTATGACTTAACTAAGTATGGAAGGTACAAATGTGAACTGTTCCCTTCTTAATCTTCTTGAATTGCAGCATGATTAACAAGAGCTACCTAAACTTCTTAACGTTGGAAGTTGTAACCTTCATCTAATACATGGTTTCAAATCGGGTTTTCAATCTGCTGAATAGAATATAAAGAAGTTGATGAAAGCATCATACAACCTTTTTTATGATTCTTCAGCTAGAAGAGCTGATTATGTAACTGTTACTAAATGTGAGAGTTTTCCTTGTGCTTTTTGCTCTACACGCTGGGTTGAAGACCAAAAAGTTGAAGACCAAAAAGTTGTTTATTTTGGGAGAATGTTAAAAAAAATAACCAAGTATTGGGAGACTCTTTTTAAAAGTAAGTAACCAAAATGAAAGAGCTATGAAAAGTGTTTGGGGCAGAGTTGTTAACAAGGCCAAAATTATCAAGACCAAGGTCAAGGCCACTCATTATAAGTCCATGGCCTATTAAGGAAAAGGATGCATTATCTCAGGATGTCATCATAGATTCATAAAAGATTGCTGTCTCATTATCTTTGGAATTCTGGAAAAATTAATAGATAGAAGTTTGAATCAATTTTTTTTTCTGGAAGCAACTGCTTGCATCAATCCAGAGTCAAATCTTTATAAACAAAAAGCTGATCTTCTTCATCAGATGAAATCTGTACTACATCTAGTTCTTTCTTGCTCACATATTACTTCAAATGAATGTGATCAAGCTTTCATACAATTTTTAATGTTGTTCGTGGAAAGTTCATCTACTTTTATTTTGAAACGAATAAAGTTGGTGTAGATTATAAGATTTTCTCAAAAGTTTTGATATTTATTTTTATGTCATGGGCAAGCATCAATTGAGAGAGGTTTCAGTATTACCAGTAATATACTCAGTGAAAAAATGAAAGGACTGTCACTTATATCTTGACGCACTATCAAGGATTTTATGGTGTCAAACAAATTAAAGGTTCACAAAATAGAAATAAACAATGAAATGATAAATGCTGTTTGTAGTGCCTCATTACAATATAAAAACTATTTGGAGGAAAATAGAATACTCCATGCAAAAGAAAATAGCGTGATAATGCTTTTAGATCAGGGAATATTGGGAAGAAAAGAAAAAAGTATTAGACAATGTATGTAAAACATACAGTTAGATATTTATTTTATTCATTTCATTTTTTTGAATTTCGTTATCTTGTATCCTAGATACAAGATCTAGGTTTTCAATGCCTGTCTGACAGGTTTTCAATGCCTGTTGAACATATCCATTTTAAATATACCCTGGTTCAAAGAAAAATTTCATATGTTGATTGAAGTATTTGATTATTTATTTTAATTTTTAAGCAAATTGATTGGTTAATTACTTATTGGGGGATTATAGTATCTGTTTTTTTAGAGGTAAAAATGCTCTGGGGTTATTAGGAAAGTTTTAATGCTAAGTTTGGGCATTTAAATGCTGGAAATATCAAGCAAATCTCAGAGGGAAAAATCAAGGGGGAAAAAGAAAAATTTTAGCAAAAAATCAGGGAAAATCAGGGAGAAAAAAGCAAATTTTTGGCAAAAAAAAATCAAGGAAAATCAGGGAATTTTGTTCCTAAATAACAGTGGCAACCCTGAACAAGTTATTTACAAACCATTGTTACTTACAAACAACTCATTAACTTTATCTAATTTTTCATTAACATATTTAAAAAGTATTTCAATATCTTTGTGTGAATAAAAAAGATTGTAATCATCTGCAAAAAAAATATAATTTATAAGATAAGATGATAAATATAGATTATTTATGTACAATAGAAGCAATAATAGCTCTAAAATAGAACTCTGAGGAACCCCACAAGTCATTGAGTGTTTAACTGTTTCTTTTAAATTATAGCATATGAATTTTTTTTTTATTAAATAGTCTTCATACCATTCTTCTAATACCATATTTAAGCTTATTTAGCATTATATCATGGTTTACTGTAACAAAAGCTTTTTTTGTACTGCAGAAGTATTGCAAGTTGTTGATTCCTTGTGTCTTGACTTTTTCTTGAAATTCTTTGCGCTACTGTCAATTAACTGCTCTAACAAACAGTAAAAATCATTTTTGTGGCTGTCAAAAAAAGATTTTGAAGTTTTTCACTTTTGTACAAACTTATTTGTTGTACAGAGATTTAAACTTTTGCACAATCTTAGTAGTCAGATAATTTTATTTTTTATTTATTTTTATTTTTAAGTTGATTAAGGTGCCCCAAGAAGTCCTTACGGTCTTATCACAGAGCACCGCGCAAGAGCATTTAATAGGAAGTTCAGGCCTCCTTCCCAACCGATGACGCAAAACTTGTCCAGAGTGGGGTTTGAACTACAGATCTTACATTTCTGAGGCAAGTGCGCTACCACTGCGCCACGGCTGCTTGTATAATTACTGAAACCTGAGACTTCCTAATATTTAGCATTTGTCAGAGTAAACATTACTTTTTAATATTTGAATTATGAACCTCTTTCCATTTCATTTTTTTTTTTACTATTTATTTACAATGTTTTACTGATTTTGTGTCACCCTATGCACAGATAAATGAATATTAGGGTTGTTCAAAAAATAAAAAAAATGCTCAGAATCTTGATAATGGATACTTTTCCAATATATACTACTACCCCTGTGATGACTAGTGTAAAATTTTATTTTGCTAGCACAACTCTAACGCCCCCCCTCCCCCCTCCTTGCTTTTTTTATTCACGAGACAACTAAAGTTTTATGATATTGCACATACTATTAATTACTCTTAAATCCACAAAAATGTAAAGTTTTTATTATACAAAATGTGTTACTAAAAGTTAAAAGGTTTTTTTGAGAATATCTTTCAAGGCAAGAATATTTTAGAATGTTATGGAAGGTACTAAAACTTTTTAGAAAGTAATGGAAAGTCATGGCAAGTTTATAAAAACTCTTAAACCTAAAAAAATATTTTAAAAGGTTTCAGAAGGATTATAATCTGAAAATATTAAGAAGGTTCCTACGGTGTATAGATGAATATAGTATGTGAGGTTTACTCATCAGTTAGGCTAAAATGGGTGACAAATTGATTGGTCACAAATTAATTGGTCACAAATCTAGTGAAGTAAAACAAAAATACAATATTCACTTTATTCTATATTTTATTCTTTATTCTAATAGAACACATTATTCATTAAAAGAAAATCTAAAAAAAAATTGCATTTTGGTTATTTAAATGAGAGATTTTCTGGAAACACTTTTCCATCCTCAAAACCACTGGATATATTTGTTTTCTAGAAACCCCAATAAACGACTACAATTCTGTAAAGTCAAAAATGTAAACTACTCAATGGACCAAATTTTTCTAGTTTTATTATGCTTTTATTATTTATATCAAAAACTGGCTTACCTGCACCAATGGTACTAATTTATAAACAATTATCAGTACTCTGGTTTTCTTTGTTTCACCACTATATTGTCCCTTTTCAAGCTTTTTAAAATTAATGATTTAGCTTGCCTCTCACAATCACTGAAATGTGTGTTTATATCTATATTTACACACAAAGAATACTTTGATTGTTATAAAATTATAAATATATATATATATGTATTTACATATATATATTTATAAATATATATATGTATTTACATATATATATTTATAAATATATATATATATATATATATATATATTTACACTTTAAATATAAAATGTATTATATATACAATATATATATATATATATATATATATATATATATATATATATATATATATATATGTATAATATATACATATATATATATATATATATATATATATATATATATATATATATATATATATATATATATATATATATATATATATATATATATATATATATATATATATATATATATATATATATATATATATATATATATATATATTACTAGTTAATATTTCAATTTTTTGTTTTCAAATGATAAGCTAATTCAATTTTCGAACAAAGTTTTTCTGAGTTCTACCTTCCTGTTGAAAAATCTGTCTATGTGGTTGCTGATAGAATGAAAAGTGAAAGTGAAAACAAAAAAAAAGATTTATCTTTCTACCTTGATGAAAAATCATATAGGTAAAAATATTTGTTTACCTTTAATTTAATACTTTTGGTTTTTATTTTGCTTACATCTTTTTTGTACTTGATGTTAATATTTTTATCAAGTTATTAGTGTTTATTTAAAAGGCTGCTAGGAAATAATAGATTTATAAAGTAATAGATATATAGTTTCTATGAAATGTTAAAATAAGATTTAAAGCCAAAGTTATTTATTAATATATGGTTGAGTTTTGTCAGCAATTTTTAAAAACAAAACTTTTTATCAAGCAAATATAGGTACTTTACGTGATAGAAAAATTATAAATGTAGATTAAAAAGAAGACCTTAATTGAACCTTGTGGTACCTTATAGTTTACTGGAAAATAATGCCCTTAGAATGGAAATATTTTAGATATTGAAATACAAATAAGTTTGAGACAAAACACAAATCAAAGATTTCAGTTAAGTCTTAAGTTGACAATGAAATAAAGACATTGGTAAGAAGTTGAATAAAGCAAATATTCAAGTGCCAGCATGATCACTGGAATCATAGCCATTTAAAATGGTGATCATAGAGTAAAAAAAAATGATATTGGCAGGTGGATGTAAAGAATAAAAATAAAAGCATCAAGAAGAGTGCAGTTTTAAAACAAAGAAGAACAAAAAAGTGATTTTGTGAAGAAGAGCCAAGCACATTAAAGAAAAGTCAGAGTACTCAAATCTGGTTTCACAACAAATAAATAAACTGATATATAGTTATATGTGATGTTTAAGGTTTTGCAAACACTGATCAGCAACAACAACAATATTTTTCCCCTTTTTTTTTTGCTGATATTAACAAAGCTTGTTATGCAGATTACAATCTGAAAACAGAAAAACAGAATACTCTATTACATAGAATTACTCTATTACATACAGCTTTTCTCATAGGATTCCTTGTTAATATGTATGTAATGGTGTGCTTTTTTATAAGATTTCTTGTTAATATGTATCTAATGCTGTGTTTTCTCATAAGATGCTTGTTAATGTGTTATTTTTAGTGTGTTTTTTATTTCAGTTCGCTAAAAAGGTTTAATATAGTTTTCTTTTTAATAATTCACAATGAAATGAGTCAAGCTTGGGCTAATCATCTAGACAATTTTTTTTCCACCAATCATTTTTCTGGTTGTTACTTCTGCATGACCAGTACACTACAAAGAGCAAATCAGCTATCAAGTAACCAGACTGTCCATCAGCTCTGAAACCAGTTTTGTGTGATACTGAGAATTCTGTTCCCATTCCACCAACATATCCAATTATCACAAGTGACGACAGTACAGACAGGCTCAGTGTGATGTTGATGACTAAGAAGATGTTTCTTATGAAGAAAAATAGGGCAAGAATAAATTGCACTTTTTAACCTAGGTCAATTTTTACAGTCTTGTAAGTGACCTTTAACTATCCAAAGAAAAGGCAAAGATTTTTTGATCTTGCGTTCAGCAGTGGAATCTTTAGTTTCAGAACTAAACATGAAACATTTTATTCCAAAATAGATAAATGTTTTTGTACTGATTTATATGGTTTGCTTCACAAGCTTGGTCTAAAACATTTAATAGTTCATTGCAGCTCTTTATGATTCTAGATTAAGATCCTTAAAGTTGTCTTTAACCTAATCGCAATGCAAAACCATCTATTCTAGCTGCTTATGTTGTATGAATGAAGAGACATATGAACCCACTGAGCAGTACTTAAAGGAATAAACCACAGCAAACATGTCTATTATATTTGCAGAAATTATAAAAAATTTTCTAGGAAATGATTGATCTAACTGATAAAAAAGATTTGAAAAATAGAAAGTTTACTTTAAAACTATGAATGTTAATAAAGGGTAGATTGAAACAGTTTAGCAATGATAAAGGTTACAATGTTGCATTCTAGGCAAGTAATTTTAGTCTTTTTTATCAGGCTCTCTAAAACAGACACCATGTCAAAATGCATATGGGAATTAAAATATAAAAATATTGATGATTTTATATTGAATTAGTCCATCCTCAAAACATTATCTGCATATAATAATATTTCCAAAAGATGCATATTATGCCTATGCCAAAAATGTCTATTAAACAAAAAATTGGAATTGATTTCTAAATGCAGGCATGAAAATAAGTTTCTCCTAAAAAACTATAAAAATAAGTGAGCTCAAAAAATAATTTTATTAAATCCCCCCTTGAAAAATAAATATAAAAAAAAAAAAAGCTTAAGTAAATGATTCTGAAGAATACTTTTTATATTAGTGTCAGCATATTCCACACATGTGTGAAAATTTACAGTAGCTAAGACTATTTACATTAAGTACAAGAGACTGTAAGTCTCTTGTACTTTGATGTAAATCAAAGTCCTGTAATTTAATTTTTGATGTAAAACAAAGTCCTGTAATTTAATTTTTGGTTTTATTAAGTTTAAACACTTTAAATCAAACAATTAAATATTAAATTTATTTTGTGCAATGATAAATAAGTGAAATTATACCCAAATTTTGTTTTGCCAATAGGCCCTTCTATGATATTTAGCAAAGGGTCCATGTAGGATTCTTGCATAATCTCTGGGGACAGCACACCCGTGAGAAGACTTAGTTAGAGTGTTGCCATTCATCAATATAAATATATCAATAATGACTCAAGATGAGATATTAGAAGTAATTAAAGATTTAGAGATTTAGTGATAGTTAGAGGGGTCCAGAGTTTTTAATAGCTGGAAACAAAGTTACCATTATTCAGCAGGTAGGAAAATAAGATTCACTTAAGCTCTTGTTAAATAGTTTAGAGAGTAGTTTTACAGACTGTTTCCTTTAATTTTACAGACTGTTTTCCTTTTAAAAGTTAGAAACAAAGATACCATTATCCAACAGTAAGGAAAGCAAGATTCAATTAAGAGTTTTAGGGAACACTTTTGTAAGATGTTGATAAGAATGTTGTCTAGACCACAACCTTTGAAGGAATTCTAGGAATTATTGATAAAGACCTTTCAAACTTGATAAAATCCAAATCAAATGATCTTTATGTCTCTGAATGCACAATTAGTTGTATTTTACAATAAGTTCTAGGTAATAGAAGTCAATTTTTGTAGACACAAACAATTAATCATCATCTCAACAAAACAGAGTTAACTGTGGATTAACCTAATTCTTGAGAACAACTTGAAGAGTGTGATGTCATTAGATTTAAAAGTTGAGTTAAAAAATTGCTCAAATTGTTTTTTACTTAAACTCTTATATATTTTTTCTATTAGCAAAAAAATCTTTGTAAATCTTTAATTAACAAACTTCTAATATTTCATCTTGAATCTGAAAACTTAGTCCTGACAATCAATATGGATTTCAATCCACTTGTTTCTTCTGCTGACCAATCATTTAAATAGAAAAATTCCATTGTATATTCTTAACACTTGTAATACTCTTTTTTTATTTGGGTAGGTTGTTCTATTGGTGTCTTTTCTTTTTCAAATTTTGTTTGACTTGCTATAGATATTGTGCTGAACCTCTGGTGCTATGGAATTCTCCCATTGTTTTTTCCTGATACATAAAATATATATTTGTATAAATATATTTTGCTGCTTAAAGATTTGTTACAATAACAAAATGTAAAAATAAATATTTACAGAAAATAAAGTGTTTAAAAAAGTAGTAAAAAGACCTTTGCTATCCAGAAAGTTGTTCTTGTGAAAAATATAAAAGTATTTGAAATTTGAAATAGCAACTACGCATAAGAACAATCAGAAGCTAAAAACAAAAATCAAGAAGTAAAGCTGAGTGATTAGGTTAGTCGGGAATGTGATACACAAAACATCTGAGTAAGAAATTGAAATCAGTTAAAAGGATTAATTGTACTAGAGCCAAGCTATTCATTGGGATAAACATTAAAGCCAAAACAAAACAAAAACTTTCAGATGGATAAATAAAACCTTGGTTAATTTGATCTAAAATAATATCGAAAATAGTGCATTCTTAGGAATAAAGAAAGCAATAAAGAACAAAGAGAAAGCAATAAAGAACAAAATAATGGAGAACTTAGCATAATTACAATTGTACTCAAATTAATAAGCTGTGGTTTTTTATTCCTGCTAGTAAACCCTGTTTACTAGCAGCTTTACTGTTTACCAGGAATAAAGCAACTGTATAAAGTTGCAAATAAATAATAATAAAGTTGCAAAGTAAAATAAATAAAAGGTATTTTTATGTAACTTTTTATATAATGAAAAAGCATGAAAACGGAGATATCTTCCATCCAGAAAAGGAAATGTTAATATTGTAGTATTTACCAAGGAATCTCATACAAAACTCTGTGAGTAGAGTTAAATAGATTTAATATTTATCATCGATAGTTGGAAACAATTTAACACAGGTTTACACCTACTTAAACCTAGTATTTAAAGATAAGATGTAAGTCAACATAAATTTTTTTTTCACCTCATTGTTAAAAGTAGGTTATGATATCATATTATTATTAGATTAAATTCCTTAGTGCTACGAATGACCTGTGGAGTTATGTGTTTAATAGACATCATAATGCAAATTATTAGACTATTAATTTGACACCACCGTTTTATGTGAAGGAGCAGATTCTTGTTCAAATATGTAAAATGCTTGCACTATTCAGGATTTAACGAGTTTTTTTTAAACGTGTTATGAGGAACTCCTTTAGAATTCAAACATAACCATCTATCATTCTGTCAATATATTTTTTGGTTCAAGTTTTTTTTGTCTCAGAAAATCAGGAGTATGCACAAAGTTTTGAGATGCTTTACCTTGTTCAAAGTTTTGAGATGCTTTACCTTGTTAACCTTTTTACCTTGTTCAATGTCTTTTTGCTAATCTTTGATCTCTAGTTTTTACCAACATAATTTGATCTCTGTGAATTGTATAAGACTTATAGCGGGTTTCTAGATGAAAAATGGAACGGAGTTTACATTTTTAATTTAAAAAAATGTTTTGTTTAAGCTAATATATAATTTATTGATAGAGGTGCAAGCAAGATCATTGCAGCATTAGCTCAGTAAGCTCCATATATATATATATATATATATATATATATATATATATATATATATATATATATATATATATATATATATATATATATATATATATATATATATATATATATATATATATATATATATATATATATATATATATATATATATATACACTTTTTGAAAATTTCAAGCTTAAGATATTTTTATAATATACTGGTACTAAGCTATTTTAAATTTGAAAAATTATAACAAAAAAACTATAAGGCTCTATAGTCATTTAAATAAAAAGGGTAACTTTGAAACAACCACTGTTGTCCAATGTTTACTAAGTAAAAAACGCAGTTGTCCAAAGTATTTACATCTAAACCAATAATAAAGTAAGTCTTATATCATGTGATCAACTTATATTCTTCAAAATATGGTGGATCTAAACAACCCTACAACCACAGAAAAACCTAAAAAAAAACAAGTTAAAGGGAGGGAAAGATAGTTTGCTTGAGATACAAGATTAAAAAATCATGTTACAGGAACACCATGAAAGTGCGTTTATTTAAACTGTTTTGAAGTTACTACATATGATGATAGAATAAAGTTGATATCGTATTTTAACAATTAAAAAACAAAGGATGGGCAGGACTTGTATATTTCTTCCTATATTTCTGTTCATAGCATTAAGCGTCAACAAAGCAGAAAAGCAATTGTGGATCAACCTCAATTTCATAATTATTTATATAAGTACCACTTAAACATTGTTAGAGATAAAAGTTCTACACATATCTATGTGCATATCAAAGCATTTTTATCTATATTTGGTTTGACAGAAAATCGAGTAAGGCGAATCAAAGAAATTCTTTCACCCACAAGTAAATAAAAATAAATAGTTCAATTTTAAAAAATATTTTCAAATAAAATAAGGATATTACATTGAAGTTTATTTAACCAATATGTTATATATATAAAAGTATATATACATATATAAACTATTATTTTTAATTATTAGGTCTACCATGTAAAGACATGAGAGGACATCATAAAAACAGAAGTCATGCTTTTTCTGCTGAAAACATTTGTATGATAGTGCAGCATATTAAGTCATTTTAAGGACGATCTGCTCATTATGTCAGAACAAAATCTACCAGGCTTTATCTTCCATAAGACTTAAATATTTTCAACAAATACTGCATGTTTAAAGAAAGTATCCTTTAGAAAAGTGTTCGTATGAATGTTATCGTAAAATCTTCAATACAAAATTTAATATTTCATTTGGATATCATAGAAAGGACACTTGCTCATTCTGTGATCTAACAAAGAAAAAAATAGACCCAATAGATAATCAAGTACCTAGTGATTCTGATGCTGCTAAAAATTTTGTACTAAATAAAAATGTTTTAATTGCATCACTTGAGCTTCATCAAAGAAAAGCTGAAATGTTTTCCCAGAGGAAGAAAGCTGCACGTCTTTACGCTCGGAACACTTTTGAATCTGAAGCAATCTGCTTTGATTACCAAAAAAATCTAA